CAAAAAAATTAATAAAAACTATACCAATGTCGTAGAATGCCAAAATCAAACGAAAAAAGACGAAATTGTAAAGAAATGAACTTGAAGACTAGATTATTCGCCAAACCATATTCTGTGCCATTTGCTCAACCCTCATGACCACGTAGATTTCATAATGAAAAGAACTTTTTTTTTTGCAAAACTTTTTTTTTTTATTCGCACGCGCGCATCAGTTTTGGGGCTCCTGGGGGATGTCATCCATATAATCAAATCAACATGGCCTAAAGTTTCTAAAAAGTTCTAAAAAAAATTCATTTGTGGGCCAACCGCCAGAAATCTTGTCACACATTCACGAATTTGGCCTCCTTAACACTAACCAAACGCAGAACCGGCTGGCGTTCGGAATAAAGTGCCGGGTATACACCATTAAAACTTCATTTTTGTTGGAAAATTTGGTGCCCTTTTGTCAGTCTTGTGGTGGATGGGATAGGTAAGGTTTACTGCTCACTGATTTTGGCAAAAACAAATCGATTTAGACTGTTTGGGAGACCACTGAGGAAAATAGTGTAATCAGGTTGATTTCTGAAGGTCGTAGGTCAAAGGCCAGGTCCCCCTCCAGCTGTTCATGGTCATTTAAAGTTTAAAGAGCCGTTGCAAAAATGGGCCGTTGTGCACTTTGGGAGGCGGGCTATCATGTCAAAGTCAGTTTTCCTTAACTTTTCATCCCAGTGGTGAGATTCTGACACCTTTTTCGTGGTTATTTGTGTAGAATTATGCAGTAGAACGCATTGGTATACGTAGAGCATGCCAAGTAGTTTGTTGGGCTGGACCATGCAAAAGTTAACAATAAAACATAACGCATTTGCTTTGCAATTATTTCCTCTCGACTCTATTCCTAACGGTTGTTTCTGACGAAAAATAGACATGGTAGGGGGAAGTAATATCTAGGATATTATCTCTCTCGGATTGTACAAACAGCCTACATGTACCCCCCCCCCCCACCTCTCACTTCGACTTTGCAAAACAACACATAAAACTGTGCTCTACATTAAACGCGTTTTGTCAGGATTTAACGATACCGTCATTGCTAAAAAGGTAGTTATTTCTGGCAACAAGTAAACTTTCTAGAACGAAAGGTTCCCTGTCGTCTGAGACAAAAACTCCTGGAAGTAGGCGAGGTGGTGCAAGCCGGCTTACATGGCTCATTGTAACCGAGAAGCCCGTTTGTAGCTCTATGGTCGTCTGGCAACTAAGTGACTACAAACCTAGTCCTGCAGACGATATAATCCGTATAGAGCCAACGCCGAAGAGCCTCTGTAGCCAGCTGTCTTTGAAATAGCGTGCCGCAAAAAGCGTTGACATTTGGGGGATTAGTTCAGTCAAAGCAGGGGGTTGGCATATATGTCCAAAGCTTTTGCGAAGGATAAGTATATCGTCCTTTTCACACCTGTACCTTCCTACCTGTTGGATTGGGGAGGGGGGCAACTACCCAGTGTTTTTATCTTCTCTCTGCTTCGAGACAGTGCCAAAACGAATCACATTAAGTGCGTTAACTTAAAAGAAAGAGTTAACATGAACACATGTCAAGTAAATGTAAGAAAGAAGGCAGAATGTGACGCGAAGTGACGTGGTAACTTACTTGCAAGATGTCCGCCATTTTGGAAATTTAAAGTACCAGTACAAAGCATGATGGGCTAGACCAAGTAACTAAGAAGTTTTTGGAGGGGAGTTTTTTTTTAAAACTTTAAACACTTTTCTTCTCTTAAAATCCCATATTGGCTTGGTCATCCCTAATGCTAACCATACATGTATGGTTTTTAATTAGCTTAATTATCAGAAAAAAGCTTAACATTAACATTAACATGCAGCACAAAAAATAGTCCTAACAATATCAATTCTTGAAACATCACCGTTTATTGGAAGGCATCGAAGGCACTTGCCAAAAAACAAAAATAGAGCCATTTTTGTTCTCAGTAGAGTCAAACATAAACATCACCAGTAATGAGGAAAACCAAAGAATCTCCAACATATATTGTACAATAACAGATATCTCCATGTAAAAGTGACAATATGAATGCATACGTGGTGTAGATGCATGCATGATATGCATCATTAACTCTTTAGTTGTATATTAGATATTACACAAGCATTACCACAAAATTACATGAAGACTGCCATTCTGACCACACTATACCAAATCAATACAAATCCATTTACTGTTTACTTTTGAAACCATTGTTGTAGCTTGCTGCAGTAGTCGTTGAGATATTAAAAGGCAAGAATAGATTGCTGTTCAATGATTCAACACATTTTACCACTTCCCTGTACTGCAAATTATTGAAACATTCACATGTAAAACCGTCATTTGTGAACCAAAATATGAACAACAAAAAATATGGACCCACAACGAACTGCAGACAGAATATTTCATATTCAACTTCTTGCATGAAGCAACATCATGTCTCATAACACATACTAAAAGACATTTTCACATTAAGTTAAACTTTTAAAGATTTGCAAACAACTTTAACTCTTGAACAAGAAGATACATTTCAGACTCCATAAAAGCAGATATTTCAACAATGCGAATGCACATTTTGGATGGCTCAAAGCATCATTGCTGCACTCTCATTGGCTATATATAGTAGCTGGCTAGCAGCTTATAAAATAAATACTCTTTTAGAAAGCTATATATAATCTTTAAGAACTATTGTATATCATAGCAACCCTATTTCTCTTGTAGCAAATGCTAGGAGGGTAGCCAAGCATATCAGTATGGTTAGAACAGTCACTTTTTTCAGGACGACTTTCAGGTCCTTGGGTAGGAGATATGCACTGAATTCTGTTGTCAAGTGGAATAGGATGTAGGATATCATTATGTAGATGATCGTAGCAACTACGAAGTTCATGAGTGGATAGTCTGGAATGTATACAATGAGCTGCCTGGCGTTGTCTTGCATGTAGACATGGAGTTGAGAGATGTAGGTTTCCAGTGTGATTTTTCCAAGCCAAGCGAACAAGTCAAGGTGATAGGACCTCATCAGTGGAAAAAGGTTCCTGAAGAAGATGTAAGATAGAATCGGGATCCACGATGTGTATGGATGGATGGCGTTGTACTCAAACTTTTCTTTCGACGCAATCGATGTATGCCATATTACTGCAGCTACGAGGAACACGGTGCTAAGCACAAACTTGATCATCACGGCCAATCTCTGTTCGTTTGGGTCTGCAAACTTCTTCTCCAGGTAGTTGAGAAGTTTCTCGTAGTTTGGGTAGTTGTACGCGCAGAGCATCCCCAGGAGAGTTGCGTGGTGGTCGAGTCCAGCTCGGAACATCCACTCGTGCATGCCTCCTTTGTACCCCAGTAGGAACTTGAACGGAGTGAACAGCGTTTCCCCGACGTGCGGAACGTCAAAGATGACGGTGTTACAGACGAAGTACACCAGGAACTTGGCCGCCATCCTCCAGCGGTGCTCGTTCCAGGAGGACAGAATCCGCATGAAGGCGTAGACAGACAGGAACCAGTACGTGTGCATGGCGCAGATGTAATACAGCATGTACTCATTGTTGGTGACCACACAGACACAGACCACCAGGAAGTTGAGGCGGAAGAGCATCTTCAGTAGCCTCCAGAGGGAATAGTCCTTCCGCACCCAGAAGAAGGAGAAATTTCCTGGAAAACAAAGTTGAAAAAAATGTAGCTCGCTTGTTTTGCCATCATTTATTATCAGAAGATACACCTGTGCTGTACGTGTAGTAATAGAATGTAAAATGTAGATTCTGATGATGATGATGCTTCCAACTAAGGCCACACCAATTTAATTTCTGATTTTTTCTAGAAAAATAATGGAGCGGGCCGGCAAAAAAATAAAAATAAAAACAGGCCTAGGCATCCTATTATGGCCCAAAATGTGAATTTTGAACTTTTAATGATACCACTGCATTGAAAGATGGAATAACTGTAACAACTAGGAAGAAAAGGGCTGTTTTCAACTGTTCGGAGCAAAATATGAGCATTTTGCAGTTACTAACTGTTGATTCTGAATTTTCTTTTTTTTACAATCATTGGTGTGGCCTAAAAAGAACCTTTTATCATATAATGCAACATTTTCTTATGGTCTTGTTCTACAAATGATGTTGTTAACCTGTTATAACATACAAACAACAACACAATTTTCTAACAAAACAAAAATATTGTAGTCTGTCTTGCCATGGCATCATTATTTTCCACAGTAGTCCTTACTTTGACTGCGTGTTTTGATGTGATAAGACTCAACTTACCGAATCCTGTCATCCACACGTAACAAGCGATGAAGACCCTGATGTAGTTGTAGGTCTCCTTGGCTGCGTAGTAGTGGTACCAAACAAACATAACCTGCATCCAACCCTTCCACTCCTCTGTCTGATCCCTACACAACAATAGTGTATCATTAGTACTGATATCACACAAAACATGGCACAATAGACAAATTAAGAATTTGTTTAGATTTTCTCATAATTCACACAAAGATTAAGAGATTTCAGACTTCTAGAATGTATTTCAGGGTTTTGTGTTCTTCAAGTTCACCCTCATTTCCTGTGTCTGACCATTTCACCTGTCATTCTGCCTGTCAATCTTCTCCCACATACAACCTGTCAACTTACTCTGTCCAAATGAACAGACACACAAACCCACCACTCAAAGCCTCCCAAAACAATACTTCCATACCCAGAAAAAACAAGATATCTTATAAACATTATGTGTTAGCATGTTACAACATAATAAAACCTGCTGTTTCAAAATGAATTCAGATACAGATGTGTGTCAAGTTTGCATGATGGGTGAGTGCTCAACTGGGAACCAAGAGGTCCTGGGTTCGAGTCCTGACATACCAGATACCACCCTGTGCCCTTGGGAAAGGCACTTTACACAACTTTCTCAAGTGAAAATGAGTATGTCTTGTCCTTATTTGTTTCTATGTGTGGGACAACAGCAACTGCTGCCTGTGTCCCAAGCATACTAGTATTGCATTGTTACACTTACAATAAATCAAATCAAATTGAGAGCGCGAGACTTGGCCCGACACTGATTTGAAACTAGGCCTGAGACCGATGCAAGTCTCGGACGGGCACTCCGTGAACAAGATGGTCTGATAGTCATCGAAAATTTGGAGGTCAGTATCCTTATCCTTCAAACTTGTCACTGCTAAAAGAATCCCGTAGTAAGTGTATACGTGACGAATCTATTCAACTTACCTGTTGAGAATTTTGCTGTCGCAGGGTTTGCAGGTGAAGCCTCCAGCCACGGCAAACAAGACGAAGCACAGGAACAAGAACAGGTCCCTGGAGTACGTCCGTTCTTGTCTGGGGAAGATGTGATCATAATCACACAGGTAAAAGTACAGCAGGATTCCTCCAAACACCACCAGATACTTCAGAAGGTCGTCCAACTTTGGCGCAGGCTTGACTTTAGAGAAGGTTTTCGCTGCCGACTGTTCGCCGTCTTTCGGAGAATTTGCGTCGATTTCTTTCACGGCAATCGCAACTTTCCCGTCGTCACTGCTTCTTGCCTGCTTCCCGTTTTTGTCCTCAACTACGACAGTCACTAACTCGGGTGTTGAGGTGACATTGCCGTCTGATACCTTTACCTCGACAAAGCCGTCTTGCTCATTTTCCGTGTTACTGTTACTGTTACTGTTACTGTTACTATCCCTGGTACGATAGAACCAAGTCCTGCTGTTGTACACAAGCCTGATGATTAGGACAACAATCGCTGTAATCCACAGGTAGAAGAAGGCCAGCTGCATGAGCGTGGGTTTGAGCGTGTTCACGGAGGCAACCGTTGGGTCCGGGAGGAGACCCATGCGTTCATGGAGTATACTGAGGGCTGTCTCGTGGGACGCCTCCCGCGGCGTACGGTGCCCTCGCACCTGGAACTTGGAGTAGAAGTTCATCGTACAGGTTGATTTAGTCTCACCGCAGTAGATTTAGCCTCGGCGTATTCAGCAAACACATCATGTATTCACCAGTTCATCTGGCACAGATCTGAAATGGAAAAGAAAACCTTTTGTTACAACATTACATGAAAAACACACTGTACAAGAATGCCCCATAAAGACAACACATACATAAACTGTGGACATTTAACAACAAATATACAGCCCTGCAATGACCATAAAACCTATTCACCAATGCTCCATTTCCTACAAATACTTTGAGTCCATACCAACACTCAAAGTGTATCCGAACCCAATGTATGTATCACCGTGATTTTAGCATATGTACAGCCTGCTAAACACACACAGCCTTTGTTTGGCTGTCTCTATCTTCATCAGTCGTATTCAGTGCTCTATCCGGCTGTATTCATGAGATGTAGATGGGATCAGCCGCCCCTGTCCACAGTACTAACCCATCTAATTTACTCCTGCCCTCGTCTCAAGGGAACCAACCCCCTACGGTCCTGTAAGCCGGAACCACACCATCCTCTTCCCTTCGCTAATGATTTCCATTACGTCGAGGACACTTTGAATTCGTGAATTCCTCGCAATGATGAAACTAGACTTCCTTACACACTGTTGCTGTGGAATTAGTGCTCGAATTAGCAGGTAAATTTGTACTTTGCGTGGGTCGAGTTGGAAGCGACGCTGAATCGATTGCGTGATTAGAAGACTCTACCATCTGTTTTGCCGTGTAAATGGTATGGATTGGTTGATCACTTGGTGTAATCGAGCTGGAGCTTCAGACACGTTAGATCGCAACCGACAGAGGTTCGATAAAGTAATTTCTCCCTGGTGATAGGATCCTCAAGCTTTGTTTTTGATGAATACAGAGTTTGCTGCCTGATGGTAAATCATCTGGTCTCCTTGTGTAAAAATACCTTTTGTATCTGCACTAGGATCCCATTCACACTTATAGTTTATAGAGTGCACTACAAAAAGGTTGTTCATGGTACCCATGGAGTGTGTATGAATGCAAAGAGCTGGGCTTGCTTGTTCAGGGAAATGGTTTACAGTTGGAAAGATCATTGTTCAATTCACAGACTTATATTCCTTTTGATAGTTGTCCAACTATTGATTGAAATTGTCTCAAAATCCATACCTAAGCAAGTATCTGGAACTGATGACTTGAATGACCACTGCCTAAGGCAGTTATACGTGCACGAGTCCCGCGTTACAGAAAGTTGACTAGCTCCAACATAAGTGAAACAAAAAATCGATAAGCCTTCATAACAGAGTTGACTTTTGGGGCTGGGAAGAACCTACAAGTCTGAATACCACACATGCATAATTTTCCACTTAAAAATGTCAAAGGAACGGAAATCGCAAACAGTCATCCGTCACTGTCAGTGGTGTCCTGTTCTAGCTCTGCCCACCTGATTTGTTCTTGATTAAGATCTGATTGAGGACCACATCAATCATTACATTCAGTCAAGTGGTCAAAAGTGAACGCATCAGTCCACAACAGCAGGGCTCGAAATACTGACTGGGTGCATGTGCAACTAAATTTGGAGCTTTGCACCCAATTTTTTTCTGTGGGTGCACCAGTGCACCTAAATATTTTCATAGGTTTACATAATAAGATAGTAGTATACTCTTAATAGTCTGCCATCTGACAACCCAAATTTTTTCTGGGTTGCTGTTACAAATTGGATGGCACCCATTATTAATATCAAAGTGTAAGAAAAATAATAAAATCATTGTTACAGTACCTTTCTTTAGAAATGAAACACAATTTGTTTTTGCTGACATTTTATTTTGTACGGTGCACCCAAAAATTTTTTGTGCACCCAATTTTTTAGGTTGGGTGCTCCAGTGCACCTACCGGTATTCTTAAAATGAATTTCAAGCCCAGACAACAGCTCTTCCAAACTTACTGATCATTCAGAAGGTTATTTTCGTGACTATCACTTTTACGTTTTCATGCCATATCATTTCTACATGCAGGACTTTTTAGCATTAGCATGTCAATGATCCACCTGTTTTTGACCCATGTGTTTTTTCTACATCTTCTGTTTATTTGACATTTTTAGGTCAGTTCTGATGAAGATATAAGAGCTAATTTCTGATTGCAATTAGAGATGCCTTTTTGGGGTCGGAAGTGACTTATTCAGTGATTGGTGTTCTCAATAAAACTCCTTTAAAAAGAGCTAACATCCCCTGGAAATAGGCGGAGTGCGCAGCAGAGAATTGAAATAGATGGGAACTTTCTCTTAGTGTGCCTGTGGGTATGGCAAGGCTTTGCCCAGTGTTGTAGCCAATGTTTTTCCATCATTTAACGTTGGTGCAAATTTGAATTGGTATAGCAGGTATAAACGCCCTTCGATGTAACACACCAGCTTTGCAGGCACGTGGCTGGCTACATTACACCGAATGACTTGTTACACCTAATCTTTGTAGCCTGGGTGCCATCCGATTTGTAATGGCTACCCCGAAAAAATCGGATGGCACCCAGGCTAAATCGGATGGCACCAAGGCTAAATCTTCGAACATCTACCTCTAAACATTCCGTATCTGTATCTGTATAGCCGGTATAAGCGCCCTTCGGTGAACACACCAACTTCGCAGGTACGCGGCGCAGCGGCAGCTGGCTACATTACACCGATTGACTTGTTACACTTAACCCTTGAACATCTACAATATAACTCTAGACATTCTTTAAAGCTATCTAATGACAATGCCCATACTGTACTTGGTGACAACATTGTTTAAAGCTATCTAATGATACTGTACTTGGTGACAGCAAGTTCCACTCTGCGATAGTTCTAGAAAAGAATGGGTCATCACACAGACAGAGTTGGAGGTCATGTGTTGCAGTAAAACATATCGACAAGAGCACTTAATAATCGGAGCCCTTTGAAGTGATAGCAGAAAATCATGTTATGGTGGAGAGAATCAATTTGCATGTAAATCAGTCACTAATCCCTGTCATCTTGTGCCTGTAATCAGATAAGATATGCATTTCCATACGGTCCATATCCCAGTTAGGATATCACAACCACAGAATGAAAAAATATACTATTCCCAAGGTATATCTTAGATAACAAAATGTTTAAAACCATTGAAAAATTTTACACTACAACCTTAATACATGAAATACACGCAATTACAAAGAGTATGAGAGTTAGTAGATACAAGTACATGCATTGTGAAGATGTGTTGGATATTGAGTTATAGACTTACATTTAATTTGACAGTAAATTATGCATACATCAGTCTAATCCTCTTTGCGAAATCTGATAAACTGTTAATCTCCATACGACCCCAATATCAGTTACGATATTACGAGTTTGGAACAACGAACAAGAGTTCTAGTCCCATTGTGACTGTATGTATAATTGCTGATGATTTGTTTGAGGTAAAACATGCCTGCAATCACTCAGACTACAAGTCTGACCCAAAACAATTATCTAAAATTGAGACCAACTTAACATTGCCAAAAAGCAATATTGAAAAATGAGTCAAAATTAAATCAAATTTGACATTCATACGATATTACGACTTTGGAACAACGAACAAGAGTTCTAGTCCCGTTGTGACCGTATGTATAATTGCTGACGATTTGTTTGAGGTAAAACATGTCCGCTTTCACTCAGACTACAAATCTGACCCAAAACAATTATCTACACATGAGACTAAGTTCACATTGCTTGAAAGCAATATTGAAAAATGAGTCAAAATCAAATCAAATTTGACATTCATTAATCATTACCATTGATAACGATAACCAGATTCCGTATTAATCTACGTCGGAGCAAAATCGTTGCCGCGATATGAAAATCAAATAAATATTTCTATGTCCAGCCGTGGGGAAAGATGAATTTGTCTGCCTAAATCTTGTTAGCGGAGTCCAACTGGGAAGTTAAATGGATTTTTTGGCCGTGTGTTTTTTATCACGGGAGATCGCTCCCAGTTACCATTTATCTTCACATTCAACATGGCAGATAGAGGCCATTCTAAATATCCAATGAAATAAGGGGGGGGGGTGCATCTACTTCAGGCTGATACAGGCAAAATCAACACATATCAAATTACACGTACTAGTTCGGGGATTGAAAATGATTTGAGACTTAATGACTATCCTGATAGTTTTGAATTAATCTTGCTTGTTTTGCTGTTGTTAAATAGGACTTTCCTAAGTGTCATCTCAACAATTTTCAGCACCAGGGACAGTGCCAGAACACAGCTACTTCACACATTCCCATTTTAATTTGGCCACTTAGGCCACACCAATTTAATTTGTTGGTTCTCGGATTTTTTCAGAAAAAATATGAAGCGGGCGGGGGTAAAAAAAACTAAAAATAAAAACAGGCCTAGGCACCATATTATGGCCTAAAATGGTACCATACGAGCCATGAAGCCAACACACCAGGCTGGTTCAAAATTTAAACAATGAATTTTGAACTTGTAATGATACCACTGCATTGAAAGATGGAATAACTGTAACAACTAGGATGAAAAGGACTGTTTTCTCCTGTTCAGGGCAAAATATGAGCATTTTGCAGTTGATTCTGAATTTTTATTTTCATTTGCAAATCACAAAAAAATGAAGTGGGCGAATCCATTAACCAAGAAATTAAATTGGTGTGGCCTAAATATCCGATAAAATAAGGGGGGGGGTCCATCTACTTCATGCTGATATAGGCAAAATCAACAAATATCAAATAACACATACTAGTCCAGGGATTGAAAATGATTTGAGACTTGGTGACAGTCCTAATAGTTTTGAATTTATCTTGCTTGTTTTACTATTGTTAAATTTTCCTGAGAAAAAATTTCCTTTTACTATGATATGGACAAATAAATTAAACCGCTTTTTCATATTTACACAAAGCTATAGTATATAAGAAGTTGCAGATTTTCACTTTTTTCCATTCATGTTCAGCACTAAGGACAGAACCAGAACACACACTTACTTCACATTTTCACACAATCCCATTTGGGTTTGGTCTCTATGCAGCACTTTCTACAAAGAAATTAGACAACTGAACTATTTTCTATGTCTACGCAACCAGAAGATTTATTTTCAGGACCAGGAACAAAACCAGA